CCCGCCTGGTCAATACACACAGCACAGCACACCAGAATACTACACAGAAACGAACAAGTATATACATATAAGATCTAGAATATATATATATATATATATATATATATATATATATATATATATATACAAGGAGCATATCAAGTAAGAGAGAATTTATTATGAGAGATGAGAGGGTTAAAATATAACTCTTAGATTAATTTCCTCTCATTTAATTAAACTCTAAATTTTTTCTCACTTGATTAATCTAAAAGTTATATTTTAACCTTCTCATCTCTCATAATAAATTCTCTTTCACTTTATATGTTTCCTATATATATATATATATAAAATGATTAAATAATGTATTTTATTTTATTTTTTTCTACGCAAATCACCTCATGGGTATCTTTTCCAATTCTCATTTACCTTTAAATCCACTCAAATCATTGCCCTCAGCAACTATATTTTTTTTTCATTTACCTACAACTTCTCCATCATATCTTCCATTCCATGTTAAATCATTTTACCAAGCATAATGTTAATCAAGCGACAAGTTATCCCCAACTTCTTAGAAAAGGAGTTACAAACTAAAATTATTGCCTAACCTAATGATAAAGAGTTATACATGTGGTTATAGCAAAATTTATAATAAAAAATTATTATTATTTATTATAATCAAATTTAAAAATGTAAATAAATCTTAAATATTTTTAATTATAAACATGGATATAAATATTAATATAATAATAAACTAACAAATCGTTGATTTGAATAATATTAAATTTAATCTCTTAAAATCAATGATACTTCCTAACAATAATAACGATTTTATACATAATGATAATTTTTTATTATTAAATATTAATAAAATATTAATGAATTTCATATATAGCAATATTGTTTAATAGTGAGGATTTGAACAAAGAAAAAAAAGCAAAAAAAAAAACAATTATATTTAGGGATGGCAATGGGGCCCCATGAGGACAGGTAATAGTAAACTCGTCCCCGTTCCGCTATATAAAAATTGGTCTCATACCCACCCTATATTCACGCGAGTATCCATTATGTGACACCCTTACTACCCCAACACATATATAAATATTAATCATATAAATAAAATAAAGAATAAAATTTTTAACATTGGTAAAAAAGAGTTAATCACCTATACACTGTCACTGTCGATGTAAAGTTTTTTTACACGGACAACCAATTATATCTTTTAATTATGTCATGTCACTGTAAACATATTTATTTTTAACAGTAACATTATTAAGTAATAAGTTGAACATAAAATGATGTTAATATGATAGTCACTCATATTCTATGTTGTATATGCTCATTTTTTGAACCCTAGCTTAGCTTACCATTATCTAATTTTTGTGTGATTGGACTATGATGATCATATTCGATATAAAGCAGAGCAAGAATAGACTTAAGGATATGCGCTTTTGAGGTCTTTTAAGAGACAACTATATATATATAGAGTTAATCACCTATACACTGTCACTGTCGATGTAAAGTTTTTTTACACGGACAACCAATTATATCTTTTAATTATGTCATGTCACTGTAAACATATTTATTTTTAACAGTAACATTACACAATTAAAAAATATAATTGGTTGTTAGTGTAAAAAAACTTTACACTAACAGTGTATAGGTGATTAACTCATATATATATAT